ATTATAGTTGACAATAACACGGAAACCGTATGCAAATCAAACAAATTCTTGACCTTGTTCCAATGTATCAAAGTTGGAATTAAAGAGCCACTTATAATATTTGACGGTTCATCTCTAGCCTGCAGCTATGTCCTTGTCAGAAGTACTACCATAATCACTGTGTTCTTTTTATAGCTTTAAATATAACCAGCTTGTTTATGTTTCCACGAAAAGAACAAAGAAATATGTATGTCAAAAAGTTATATATCTACCACGAGTGCTTTCTCTCTTGTTTCTCCTATAGAACAAGAAATGATTATATTACGGTCAAAACTGAATCAAACAGTGGCCGGGGGTAAGTTTAGAGTTCAAAAAATCTATTTATAGAGATTTTCCTCTTTTTTTGAATAGTCAGAAAGATATATTTTTATCTCGAGAGTACGGCGCATAGCGTTCCGCGCGCGCCTCACAGAGCCAATAGACCACCCCATACGGGGCTATAGGGCTGATGTTCAGCCGGGGTTGCGGGGTAAGCGCAATGAGGCACCGCGACCTCGGCCTAGAGCACGAGCAGGAACGGGGAGTTTTTAGTCAGTAAGAGTCTGACACGCCCTCCTGCGACCCTGGGCGGGAGAAGTCATTTGATGATTTTCCCGCCACAAAAAAGACATATGTTTATGACATGCGTCGGTAAACAAGCAGGCTAATTTAGCTGGTGATAATAAATCCACTCCGCCCATGGACACTCGCAATTGCAAGAGAAGTTACTACAAGTGCATTGCCGACCTTTTGAAGGTTATTTGGGATTTAAGGATTTGAGGATTAAGGTTGGGGGAGGGGGAGGGAAATGAATAGCGCTTCTGGTGACCTCAGTTCTTGAGGGCTAGAGATAGAATCATACTCTTAGTGTCTTAAAACCACGCTTTATCTTCTAATGTTTTATAACGGGGACGTGGTACATAATTTCTGAAAGATCTCTGATTCTCTAAAATAAAAAAAATCTTATCCCTAAGGTTTAATAAATAATAAATACCATGTAATTAACATTTTCAACCTTCATCGTATAAAATATACTGAATAAAATCCGTTTAGACAGTACCTGCTATAAAAATTCCAGGAATTGTTAAAAAAATGCGGATATAAAGAGTCGATGATTCTTTCGTGTAAGTGTTTCAGCCTTGACTTGATACTAGTAACCAACTTAAGACTTAATAGATGTTCAATTTTTAGTGCTTCATTATGTATCCGTATTTACTTTGTAGATGCTATGTAAACATTTGGAGATTATAAATATTCTTGTAACAATGTAGGGATCGTCAATTGCATTAGTCTTCTTCGTAAACTCAGACGCAGTGATCAGAAGGTACTTAAATGTAAAACTCATATTTTTCTCAATTTGTTCTGAACACTAAATTTGGTTTAATTGTAAAATAAAATGTGTATAAATGAAAATATTAGTTTTCGATATCGATTTTTTAATGGATTTGTATAACTGCAATAACTTAATCATTATCAAGACAATTATCAAAAATACATTCCATCGAAGGCCAATTTAACAAGCCTACGCACTGGTTCAATATTCTTAATAAATAGAAAAATATGTAAGTAGTCATAGTAATCCAAAATTAAATACCAATTTCTAAAGCAAACATTCGAACCCGAAGTAATGTTTAAAAAACCAATTAATTAAATTACAATTCTGCAAGTTTTACTCTAATTAACAGACGCTTGAACATAAATATAAGATATCCACATTCGAACTCCGGGTATTTAAATCCATAAGATTTAATTTTTCCGTTATTACTTACACACGCAAATACATGTCATGGGCCAAGAAATTACAAATACCTAGCAAACATAACATTATACTCTACTTACGAAATAGGAGCTACTAACATTGACATAGGAACAACTTTCAACTAGTTTTGGACGCGGTAATACATATTTCTAATGAATGTAGGGTAAGCATTTGTCTCAGGTGGGCGACAAGTGCAACGTTACACAATGAACTTCGAGTCAATGTCAATAATATAAACAAGTTATTGACACTTGATTGATTACATGCATACATTATAAAATTTAATATACTGACGTTAAAGATGTTACGGGCAAGGTTTCGAGTGCAAGTGCATTAATGTATCCCGGCCTCGACCTGCAGCCTGCTTCTCTCTTTCCCTAGGAAGGAACAGGGTATGTAAAGAACAGAAGACCCGACAGTACGCCTTTAATGATTGAAGATAGGTTTGCCTATTAACAACTACTTACTAGCTTATCTTAGCGGCCACAGGTAAAAAGTGGTCAAAGTGTTATTTCACATTATAATAAATCTCTATGCTTAGTTTCATACAGATCCGTTAAGTAGATTTTACGTGAAATAGCAACAAACATCCAACCGTAATTATAAACTTTCGCGTTTATAAGAAAAAGTAGAATAACTGTGCTTTAGTATCTTAACTTTTTCCAAGGTATTTTAATAATTATTTTACGTACGTTAATATCAGTTTAATAATATGATGTTGTTCTTTATTTCTTAACTGTCATACTTATACAAACACAAAATTTTTGCTTTAACTTAAAAAAAAACTGTAGTAAAAAGTTCGTTTCTGTAACCAAGTGCTAAGGACTGGGTCAAGTTACCATTAGATGACTAAGTACGTACGTACGTGGATAAGAAATTGTGTTGCCACAGACGAATAGTAAAAAATGGTTTAACTTTCTTAACAAAATGTTTGAACTATTTGCATATGTAAAGTTTTAATTTCCTTTCGTCAGTCCTTTTACTCAAACAGAAAATTTATTGGAGAATTGAAAACTCCTTTTACGAAACATTTAAATCAGGTTCGACGGTGAATTAATTAAAATACAATTACATTAGTGTGGTAATGGATATAATTTTAAAATATGATAAATAATGTATTCAAACAAAAGCCGTGGACAAACATGCGTGGTTGAGAACAGTTGCGTTAACATATTGCATTAGGTAGGTACCTACTGCATGTATTAATTGAATTTTTCGTAATGACCCTTCGAAGTAAGTACTCGATTTTCTCGTTTGTTACCTTTTTATTTATGTGGCATTAGTAATTAGTATACATTACAACATTAAGCCTGTTGTCCCTTGCGGTGTAAGCAGTTTGAGTACGCCACTCCCATATTTCGTTTGTACCTTATGAGTCCATACCTAAGTATGTTCTACATAAATTTTGCAACATTTTGGGCACGATTTAAAAATATATATTATTGCTACTTATAACTGACTACCTACTTTTTTATCATTGTTGAAGTTGCGTTATTTAGGAATAATTTTTGCAAGACTTTTTCTTGAGGTAATCAAGTGAATTCGGAGCTCTGCCCTGCTTATTCTTTCGGTCTCGAGAGCGAGAGGGTGTCAGTGTCTTACTGTTTTACAATCAACTCGTTTCTTCACCTGCTTTCCATTTTTGCAAGTATTGTACGTAAAGTACTTGAAAAGAAAAAAGCATTTCACTTTCCAGATAATGGGTGAAAGCATTTATTTTTGTTGAATACACAAATAATTGTTCCGTGCGGGGATCGAACCTGCGACACGTTGCTCAGCTGACAGTTACCGAGACACTTCGCCAAACAATAAGCATTTTAAATGTGAAATCGCCGCATGTTAATTTTTCACAATTATAAAATTAATTAGGAATGAGGTTTGTATTAATATTTTCTCTTACAATACCTACTAATTAGATCACAGACTAAAAAAATCCTTGAAAAGAACGTTCTCATTTGAATAATTTACAAATTTAAACTTTACGGTTACAATGTGTAGGTGTGAGCATCAAATGAACATCATTTTAATAAATAAATAAATAAATAAAAGAATTATAAACGGATTAAATAGCCTAATAAATAAAAAGGTTGATTCAGATGACAGATCATGGCTGTTGTTGTTAAAATAAAACATAAGATAAAGCTTAACATTGAGATAAAGGCCGTGTTTACGTAAGACTAAGTTTTCTATAAATGGAGATTAAATATTTTATAAGCATTAAACATATTTGAAATCAAATATCTAAGGGTCATCTCATACTAATTCCGTAGAAGAAAATACCAACTTAATTCATTGGTTAAATAAACTTTTTTCACCACTACATAGTATAAAATAAAGTCGCTTTGTCTGTCCCTATTTCCCTAAGTCTGCTTAAATCTTTGAAACTACGCTACGGATTTTAATGCGTTTTTTAATACACAGAGTGATTAAAGAAGAAGGTTTGTACGTATACCTGATACCAATTTATTATACATACAGACCTTCTTCTTTATTTGTACGTATAATTAATTTTGTATCATCATTGCATCCGAGAAAAGCCATTGCCGTTGGTATGAATCACCAAGTGCAACTACAGTAAAAGCGTAAAGATTTGAATGCAAATACATATATATAGAAATCATTTCTAGTTCTATATAATGATATGAAGGTTTTAAATTTAGTCTTACTTTTATTCTATTCAATAAACAATGGTGAGTAAATTTGAATAGAAATTGTGATTTTCGCAATTTCTATTTCCATGGTGAGGTCAGTCTACAAATCAGGATCTCATTTCAGAAAGTCACATAATTTCTTCTCTGCATTACAATTCAAGGTCTCAATATTGACTAATCAAGAATAATTAATTTTGTTTACTTGAATCATCCTTTTATATTATTAATTTAAACTAATTTTTGATCGAAATATTCTTAGTTTAGAAATAGTTTATGCATTAATTGATGTTTTGATTAACATTTTGTAATTAAATGGTGGTTGCGTGGAATTAATAATATAGTTTACATATGAGGCAAATATATCGAAAACATACTTTCAATATGATTTTATCTTTTGAAAAAAATCTTAAAAATTATTAAATAAATTGTATTTAGAATTATTTGAAATTAATTTTGTAAAAACAATTTGATGAAAGCGGTAAAAAATCAGACACAAAAATTTAAATTAGGTTTATAATATATTACAATACATAGTTTTGGCGATACAATAAATTAAGTAGCAGTCTTATTTATTAACCAAGGAGCGAGGCAACAACTGCGGGTGGGACAGCCCCTCCAGGTCCTTGTTCAATTGTGGGCTGGTATCCGTTGTCGTCAGCAACGTAGTTGATACGGTAGAGAACGCCGTCAGGTCCCACCCAGGTGAAGGATCCCTTGACAGCGATGTACTCGTCTTCCTTACCCTCGTTCCTTAGCTCGGCCTGTTGCTCGGCACCGGTACCATCAGTCAATTCATATCTAGAAATAAAAAAGTCATCTTATGAGGAGAATGACTGTAGTAACTTATCAAACACAGAACGATACCTAATTGAGATTTTTATAAAATTTATTGCAAATAAGGGTTTAATCACGTGAATTAACTGAGAAAAGCTCTACTAGTTTCAAGTCGCAACGGGATTCTAATTCATGAGCAGCGCACACGTTGCAGTGACGTCGCGCAGCCAACTTTCAGTTAGTTTTTTATTGTTTAAATATAGAAAATTCTTACTGAAAAATTCTTAGATAATATTATATAGACAAGAACGAACTGAGATAAAAAAGGTTTTCAAATCAAGAATTAAAATCCTTGTTATCATTACTTATCGCACGTTCTACATAAAATTGTTACAGAAAGATTTTTCGCTCTTAAATACCTTCCGTTATATAAAATCCCATTTTTTTTCTGTCTATAAAAAGTTCATACGTCAATTCATTTATATGTATAAAAAATATTTTTAAAAAGTAGAGTTTAAAACTGAGAGTTTTAAGACTTACACGTATTTGTAGTTTCCGAGTCCAATGTTGTCATTGTCATTCTTGACAATCTCAACATTGCCTGAGTTTGACCTTGGAGGTGGGGCGGCGACCACCACACCCAAGTAACACAGTCATGCTGAATAACGTTTGAGTACTAGTGATCCGCGAAACTATAAGCTGTAACTATTGTCTGGATATTGTCTGAGTGAACGTCTATTCAACGGTTACTCAAGCAATTTGGGCACATTTTTAAATGCATAAGTCTGTATAATATAGCTGTAAAGTTTGGGTAATTGCTTAATAATAACAGGCTTAACTTAATAACGTCTGAAAAAAAGCTGTCATCACTTTAATATAGCTATTATTTCGTATTTATTCAGACAAATGCATATGGATTTTGTTATTCAAAAATTATTCAGGATTATGTTCATTTGCGTAATACTTTTCAAACATAATTAAAAGTTAAGTTGTGAATTAGAAAAAAAGGTGTGTTTAATCGTGCAGTGTGTGCTTTGTTTTGAAATTTCATAGTTTTTAGTAAAATAAAGATGGTAGTGGAACTATGCGAATCGGTAAGTACCTAAATGTTATTATGTATTATAACCATGATACACGTAAAAAATTACTGCGCAAGTTATTTTATCGTGAATAGCATATAAATTATTTCAACATTTTTCACGCGCCGCTTTCATATTCATTTTTAGTAATAGTATATGACATATAAATAAAGACTTTTAGAAGTGACAAAAATACTTAGGATGAAACAGTTATGCTAATCTTTCAAAAGTCATTAAGTTACTCAAAAAATATATTTTTAACTGTAATTAATTACTAAAATGGGGCATTTTATATACGTAATGTTTCAATAATTTACTTAAAAATAAAATAAAATGGCGATTCATTATAAAAGTTCTCCACGCAGCTATTTTACAGTACAACTCTGATTTAATTTGAGAAATAGTGATTAGGCACTACAAGTATCTGAATAACACTTGATAACGTTACTAAATGTGATTAATTATACAGCGAATCAGGGTTCAAAAAATTATACGACGGACCAAATTTCTCAGGAAAATTGATATATTTATATGAGTAATTACAAAAAAGGACCACTTATATTTTTCAATACAAGTAAGGGTTTTTTTTCTACCTATTCAGTGGCAAATGATACAACACAAATACTATGCATAATGTTTTATTCTTATTTTTTTTAGCATGTAGGTACATAAACGCAGTTATAACGATGTTATGTTTTTGTTTTTCTAGTTTTAGGTAGGTTGGGTTAATTTCGTATTATAAAAAATTACCACCATCTATGCGATGGGGGTAGTTTAGTAGTATGTAGATTCATAGTGAATTATTTTAGCTAGAACAAACAACATCGAGTAATTTACACGTATTGATCAGTTACTATTATTCACAGATAGGGAGCGCACCGCGGCTGCAAGTTAGTGCGTGGCGTGTGTTAAACTCGCGAAATTATAGTTTCTAAAAGGTTTTTATAGTTTTATTGTTTTTAGCTATCATAAAATAGTATTTACTCTAAGTTCCTAACATAAAGCGAAATGTCTTGCAGGAGAATGCCGTTTAAGATTGTTTCTACTCAACGAAGGGGCAGAGCAGAACTATGCACTCTACCTTCCCACTGGGAAAGCACAGCAAAACTGAAATGGCCCAAATTTAATGCCGATTACCTTTGTAAAAACAAAAATGCTCAACCTAATCCGGATTGGATTTCAATGAATTGTACCTTAAAAAGAAATAATTTTACAACCTTTGAAGATGCAGAAGAAGAGTTATCTAATATGACGTTATGTGTAGACCATAGTGTGTACAATACGTCGTCTCTGGAGTTTGCCTCCAGCTCACTAAAATTTTAAATATATGCGAGTTTGAGAAATCATCCCCAAGAAGGCTTACTGTTTTTTTAATTTAGTAATTATAAGATTGAACGGATTTTTTTAAATTTGAGAAATAAAAGAAATTTTGATAATTTTAAACGCTTTTAATTATAATAACTAACTTCACGAACAAAATTTCACATAAAAAATGAAATTCTCTTATTGATTTTTTCAGTGCGACTTGTGAAATATTTTTACTAAGAGCCCATTTTTTAATTTCAATAAAATTCACATCTGATTTATCTTCACTAGATGCGGAAATATTATCTTCTGAATTCTGTACAAAATCTATAACGGCATTATTTGAAGGTACAGAACTCCCTTTAACTGGATCTGTTCGGACTTGACTCAAATTACGACTACCTAAGCTCGCTCTCGTAGTAAAACAATGTTTTAAACGTCTTTAATTCACTTACTACCCAGAAAAACTCGTTATAAGTTCTTTAAAAATGGTATTTTTACAAGTAATTGCGGAATTAAAATACATCATTCGACTTCCATCTGTGTTACGTTAGCTATAAACTATGACTTTATTTCCCTTATACCAAAATAAGCTCTATTAAGAACACAGAAAATACTTTTATAAAGTAGTTGAATAATTGATAAAATGTGGAACCTTATATGACTTGACGGCAAAATAAAAGCTGTTATTCAAAATACAATGCTAATATTCCTTTCATTAGAAATTACTTACACTCTTATTCAGAAGACAGCTGCCGTGGACACAGTTTTACAGAGTATGGTGGTTTTATAAGCAATAAGTTGAGAAAAGTTTGTTTATTAGTATTAGATAATTACGTTTATTCAGCTACTTATACTATTATACAGATAAATGCTGACCCGGGCAATATTTTTCAAATTAAAGTCACCTGTAATGCTTTAGGCTTAATAATATCTGCGTTTTATGCTGTACAGAAGTTATTACTAAGCTTTAAAAATAATAGTCGACCTTAATACAACTTTTATCAAGCATAAATGGCTATTAAGGCAGAAAGAGAAAATTATTCAGAATTTGGCTATTTCAATAGCCTTTCCTCACACGTTATGGAGCTTATATCTGTAAATATTTTCGAATTACTTTTACTCAAACATTATTCAGCATGTCTGTGTTACTTGGGCAGCGACCAAGCAGGAAAGGGCTACGATCTGAAAATGTAAGAAGAAAAGTAAATCTCAAGGAGTGTCTTTTACTCATTAATCATATTAAAGAGGCTATTAAATCCTTTTTTTTTTGTAAAACTGTTTGGTTGAAACTTTTTTCAGATTTATTTCTTTTTCTGAAATAACGTAGTATTTACTTATTAAAATGTAGTTGCAAATTTAATAAAATAATACGAACCAGTTTCATGTTGGAAGTGTTAATTTCACGGATGAATGTGGTGAAGTGACGAATCTCACATGAAATTCGGGCTTTATATCCAACACGACTTTTGATTTGATTTTATGTTAATAAAGTAAGTAGAAGGTGAACCGCTTGACAAGTAAAACATATAATGCAATTCCCTTTATCAATGAATATACAAAAACTTTCTAAGAGCAATCTTACTCAACAACACGAGTGTAGATTATTACCGACCGCTGCGTAAAAATGTAGTAGATGTGTGGACATGCGTTCGGCTAAACCTATGAAAGCTATGCGATTTAATAAATGTTTTTATAATTTTCTTTTTGCAGAAATAAGGCACTGCAAAAAATACATTATATTTATATGTAAAGAGGTAATTCACCAAGCTCGTTTGAATTGTTTAGATATATTGTACGATGTTTAGTCCACTTTGGTCCAGTTTTAATTTTATCAGTAAATAGTTTTGATTCATGCTATGTAAATATATTAACGATATAATTTTCAGAATATTTGGTATCACTTTAAATAATTTTTAATAGATTCGCTTGTACTGATTTATTTAGAATTTAAGAATAACGAAACAATATATTTCTTCATAAGTTATATTTTTCTTAAGTGTAAGAGAATTATTTTTTTGAATGAAATAATAATTTATTGTATTGAATGTGTTTTGTTATTAAAATATTATAGGTACAAAAAAAACGAAAATTTATACTATATATTCAAACTTTGTAAAGTAGTAGTAGTAGTTCTATGTATGCAACATAGAACTACTACTACTACTACATAAAAATAGTGTAAAGATATAACCTACATTATATACATAATACAATAGGTATTGTTAGTTTGATGATTAGGAGGTACCGATCAATATATTTTTTTAATACTGTTGCTGTTTGGTATGTAGCATTTACTTAGCATCGACTTCAAGATTATAAAATAGTTATTAATATTATTTTCTATTTAACGAAATGAAGACATGTATTACTTTCTATAAATAAATTTTATTTTTTGCTTTTTAGTTTACTTTTGAAGACGTTTTTTTTTAATTATTTTATTTCACCATTTTAAGTAACAAGCAGAGCAAGCAAGGATGACGAGGAGGAGGAAGACGACAGCTACTTGAGACCGACTATCATGATAATGGTAGTCCTGAGTTAGTCAGTGTTCAGTGCTGTAATTCGTTAAGGAATTCCCTCGACTGTCAATGGCCTCCATCATCAGGTAAACTGGAGACCTTCAAAATACTTACATAATCCGTATAGCTGCAAAGTTCTTATCAATATAAATGAATTAAGCCCAAACACAACATAATTACTCCAAATAGTCAAAGAGATCCCACGATGGTCTTTTGGCTCCATCATTATATTACTGCATAACTTCATTGTAACCCACATAGGTGCAAAGTTTTCATCAATATAAATGAATTAAGTACAAGCACGAGATAGTAACTGTAAACCGTTCAGAGGGTGACTGAACTGTCCTTCGTTCTCATCATCAGACTCCAAATGACAGTTACGACCAATCTTATACGACCAAATTTATAATCTGCGTGTACGTAGTATTAGATATTAAATAACTATTATATTTCCAGAGTCATACCTGATTAACTATCATATAATTACTTAATTAAGTACAACTTTACTTACGAAAGGTTTTTTTATTTTATTTATTGATATAGATCCATTCCTTATTTGCTTTACTGCATAATTACCCTTGTTACGATTTTCTTTTTTTGTATAATCTTTATTTACTATTCCTCATTCGTATGAGTATGATGTTTTAATACAAGACCCAGACTCTTACAAATGCATATATTTTCAGTTGGTAGATTCATGACATTCTGTCTATTTTGATGTCTTGTTACAGTTGAACGTACTTAGGTAATTGTTGTTGGTTTTCTGAACTACAGTTAGGTGTGGGAGAGCCATGCTAAGTGTGGTAGAGCCAGGCTTCGGTACGAATGAGTCAGCCCGACCGAAGTGATACCCCGGACTCACAGTTAACCAGCGTGAAACAACCACAGCGTTGGGTTTCGCTGTAAGAGTGAGGTTACCGGAGGCCCAAATCTTCCCCTCACCTAATCTCTCCCCAATCCTTAGGGCTCTCCAAATCCTTAATTCCCAAAAGGTCGGCAACGTACTCGTAACTGTTGTTGCGGGTGTCCATGGGCGGTGCCGATTGCTAACCATTAGGTAAGTCGTAATCCGTATGCTCATTTTGCCATCTTCTCACATAAAGAAAGCTACATTTTCTTCACTAATATGATTTAACTAGCCTTAGCCCGCGGCTTCGCTCGCGTTAAGAAATGTTATTATTAATTAGGTTATACATAGTTTTTGCATCTTTACTTTTGTTTAGCATGTGTTGAAAATTAAGGCCTCATCTTTATCAATCTTTCATCTTACTTTTATCCCTTATTTTATCCCTTTAGAGGTGGAATTTATCAAAATCCTTTCTATATAATAGGTACGCATAACGTAGGCGTTATAGTAGCTTTATTCATGCAAGGTCTCAGCCCAATCGGTTTAAAAATGACAAAGTTTCATACAAATTTCATCCCCTTTTTATCCCCTTGGGGGTAAAATTAATCAAAATCCTTTCTTAGAAAGAAAGAAAGAAAGAAAGAAAAAGTATTTATTCGCGTCTGGGACGCATAAAAGACACAAAACGAACAAGATAATAAAATAAAGTTAAAATAAAAATACATTGAGCAAGGTAAAAACAATATCACAAAAGTAGACGGTAGGAGAAAAATATGCGTCCAAGCACGCGAAATGGCCCACGCTCAGCATAATGCAGCGACCCCGTACGAGACGGGTTCGCGGCGCTGATTTTCAGCGATGGCCGTCACTAACGCATGACGCCAATCTGTGCAGAAACTTAAGGTAAGAAAATAAGTATTTAACTTATTTTCTACTGAAATATGTTTTTTATAATTGTTAGAATAATAAACTACTACAAAAAAATAAACTGCTTATGATAAAAAAAAATAGAGTAAAAAAAAAACCAGAAAAATAAAGTACCAAACAATAGACGCCTATGTGACATTTGTCAGTGGCAACACTGAACGAATGAAAGCGACGCTCGCGCCTCCAATCCATTCGATCTGTGCATTCGATCAAAAAGTCTATAAGTCTATTCACCATTCTCTGTCCACGTGCCACAAACAATTTAATATAGTAATTTACAATTTGTATTTGTATTACGTAATGGCGACGCATACTAATAATTATTATGCAATCCGTCATATAAATGTTATGGAGATAAGTGATTTAAATATGTTGTGTTGTGAGTTAAAAAGAATATGAATTGTGTAATGAATGTAGTTGCAAAATGTGACTATGGAGGACTATCGAATTCTACCAGGATGATTCAGGTAAGTGATATTTTACCCATGCACGCCACTATTGGATTAATATGGATTTATACACAACCTAAAAATCCGCATCCAAGGCCACCCACTGACCAATTCCTCAGCATTAGTTATAAAATTATGATGAATAGTATTAATTTTGTGTTAATTATTTGATAAGTCGAGGTTTTATCGAGTCATTATAATTCAATATGAAAATTGACTTCAGATTGGTAAACAAAACAAATTAAAATAAACAAAATAATTGCATAGATGAATTAAAGATAGATGTAAATTATATAATTAAGGAATTAAATTGATAAAATTGATATTGCAGACAAGAAAATGGGAAAAAAACACAGTACCAATGACACTCATGAGGAACAAAGGCTTGAGTGGACGGCAACCCACACTGCAGGAAGTGATCCCCAATCCGGAGCATGCGTGCCAAGACCCCCGAGGTATGAAGCAATGTCACAAGTTGAGGCTCACTTGCTGATGTAGTAGAAACTTTTTAAATTGTGCCTTAAATGCATGTTTTGTTTTCAGGCACCGAAGTGGGGGAGGGAGATCATTCCAGCAGCGCGTAGCCGCAAACTTGAAGCATCCCCTGAATGCCACAGTATGATGCCTAGGAGCGGCCAATGGACACACTATGGAGCGAAGACCATGCCTCATCTGGCTGTGTTTCCAGGTCAGTTTTTTAAAAAGATATTCCGGTGCCTGTGCCTCGACAATGCCAAACAACAAATTGGCCAAGTGGAGCCTTCTCCTAGCAGCCATCTTCAGTAGCTTTAGTTCATTTATATATGGAGTAACATGACTTCTTCGTGGTATATTTATGCAAAAACGAACACAGGCATTTTGGATTCGCTGGATAACGCGCTCCGTTCTAGAGAGAAGGCACGGTCCATATACTATATCACAATAGTTTAATTTTGATAGGATGAGGCTGTCAACAAGTTGTTTGCGCAACGGAATGCTCAGATATTTCCGTATTCCATATAATACCTTTAGCCTGTAGAAGCAGTTTGCCAAGACTCTTGTTACATGAGCCTCAAAACGCAGCTCGGGATCCATAGTTAGACCTAGACTGCATGCTTGCTCAACTCTCCCGATACTTTCCCCCATAATAACTATTCTAGGGTTGGCCGACTTAATAGTTTGCACCTGGTTTCTGGAGCCTAGAACCATGAATTTTGATTTAAGCGGGTTAAGGACCAGTGAGTTCGATTCAGACCATACAACCACTCTGTGCAAATCCTCATTGATTTTCTGCACCGCTTCATGTGTTTCACTGGCCTTGAATGTCAAGTAAAGTTGTATATCATCAGCATACATATGATATTTACAATGAGCAAAAGACTTGACTATATCTGCGCTGTATAAGATATACAGCAAGGGCCCCAGAATCGATCCCTGGGGAACGCCCCTGGACACGCTGAGGGGGGATGATGCCACCCTCGACCCATCCTCTCTTTGCATCTCCACAAATTGGGACCGGCCTGAAAGATAGCTCTTAAACCACCCTACCGTGTCCTTGTCGAAACCATAGAAAGCCAACTTAGACAGAAGCAGAGTAGTGTTAATAGCATCAAAAGCACGGGAATAATCAAGTAGAACCAAGATTGCACCCTCCCCCCTGTCCCGTGCCTCAAGAATATTCCCCACTACATCGGCCAGAGCTGTTGCAGTGCCCCTTCCCTGCCTAAATCCAGATTGTAGATCAGGAAGAATATTATTAGTTTCAAGGTATTTAATAACCTGTGAGTGCACTATCCGTTCTAAGATCTTTGAAAGGCAGGGCAGTAAGCTGATTGGTCTTAGATCCTTTATATTAATTGGACTGGTAATTTTGGGTATTGGTCGTACAATAGCGCATCGCCAGAGTTCAGGGAATGTGTATGTCATTATTGAACAGTTGATAATATCTGTGATGGCTTGTAAGGAAGTTGGTAACGTAAGTCTTATCATTTCCAGACTAATGCCATCGACACCCTGTGCGTTCGACTCCAGGCTTTTAATTATCTTGAGGACTGCCCCAGGATTGGTAGCTGACAGAGAGAACGTAGCATCGCTAAACCTATGCGACTCAAAGAAAGAAGACTGCGAATTATTCAGATCACAATTGCCGGGAACATCCAGGAACGCCGCATTGATATCGTCAGGGTTGTCAAAGTACCCCGGAAGGAGTCTTTGTTTGTGGTCAGGCAACACATCCGCTTTTAAATTGCGCCATAATAATTTAGGGTCCCTGATGTTGTTGTTAATGCTTTCTGTGAAATAAGCTCTCTTCTCGTTAGCCAATGCCGTGATGGCCAGATGCTTGAGCTCCAGGTAACTGTTCTTGTGTTCCGGCAACTTCGATCTGCGAAATTTGTCCCTGGCCTTATCTCTCAGTTTTGACATTAGTCTGATGTTGTCAGTGATCCATGGGGTGGGACGGGATCTAAATGTTTTAGTTCTAATGGGAGCATGGAGGTCGAACAGTTGGATTACAAACGAGTTGAATGTTTGGACCATTGAGTCAACATCATTCATATCACCCACTGTAGACCATGGAATGCTTTTTAAATCCCTGTCGAAGTAATCCTCCAAGATGTCTTTGAGAGGGCGATATACCACTGATCTAGGTCGGCATTTATGTCTCTTGAAGACCGTCTCGCAAGTAATAAATGCATGATGGCTAAGTTCACTTATATGATTGACCTCTACATTGCGGACTGGAGCATCAGTGCAGATAACGTCAATGAGCGAGCTACTATCACCTATAAAGTGCGTAGGGGTTGTGACCACTTGAGTCAAGTTGAGATAAGTCACAAAGTCTGCGAGTTCTTTGGACTTTGAGCTGTTGACGTCCTCCATATTGACATTGAAATCCCCTAACAGTATAAGGTTATCGAAGGGGGCCAAACCACCAATGCTTTTAGTCAGTCCATCTAGAAACGACTCCAGTTCCAACCATGGTGGGCGATATGCAGTACCAATAAGCAATTTGATTCTATGTACCGTGAGAGTTAACCAGAGCTGTTCGACATTAGCGTGTTCAGGGTGTGCTCTGACACGTGCAGGAATTCCATTTCTGATGTAGAAAGCGACCCCCCCGCCACGCCCCCCACGTATAGACAATGGTCGCGGGATGTGCTTCAGTCTATAACCTGGTACGCTAGGCGCCCGGTCATCCTCACCCCTGCGCAACCAAGTTTCGTTGACAGCCATTATGTCCACTGGGTGATTTCCCATTGCAACCAAGAATTCATCCTGGTTAGTCCCTACGGAGCCCGCATTCAACAAACCAAACCTAATACGCTTATATCTAGTCATTTGTATTCAATGAGTTACAATGTTGTGTGTAATGTAAATATAACTTGTAGTATCTAGTATATAATGTAATATGTATAGTATATAATATTAATATATATGTATATTTAAAGTATATTATCTTGTTTGTAGTAAGTGTAAACAAATATATTATGTAAGGTACGGTAATTGATATGGGAAGTATAGAAATAATAGTTATGTAATTTTTTTGTATTTGGTTAGTGTATGTAATGGTACCATGTAGACCGTAAGTATGTGTGTAAGCAAGTGTCAGCTGCGACAGAATATGCGCGTCAGCCAACGCGTAAACCCCACGACTTGGATTGTTTAGACGCATATTTTCCTCCTCTTTGATACTAGATAAATAGTCGTTATGTACAAACACAAAAATAAAAAAATAAGATTGGTTATATTGTTTCCTTATTGACAGGTCCAAAAACCCTCTCAATGTCCTCGTCGGTGCTGATCCTTTGAGTGGGATCACCTGGGCTCC